CATGCAGGGCAAGGTTGAAGGGGTGCTAGAGGAGTTCAGAAAGTCCCGGCTAGCGAAAGTGGAGATCAAGGACGAGAAAGAACACGAAGAGTTGCAAGAGAGGGTCGGGGCTGATGAGAAGACAAGGATGATGCAAAAAGAGATGTGGGATGCTATGGACGAGATGCTGGCTCATTGAAGCTGCCCCGGCTGGCCTCCCAACGTACTCGTTTGTCAGTTAAGCAACACTAGGGCAACGCCAACACAGTCAGAAACCTCCACGCGAGGGGTGGTGTTCTGCTCAAAGCCTGAGTGTTGGCACAAACCAGCTTTGCATAACAGGCGAACATGCTCCACACTATGACACGTACTTACGTTGATCTGAGAGGCTGTCGGCACAAGGACAGAGTTGCATCTCAATGACAACATGATAGATTGCGTTGATAATTGTCTACCCCAAGACTCCATGTGCAGCTTCTGTGGCACCTGCCTCGTTAGCCATCACAACATGACGTCACCGAAGCTAGCGAGGACGTGTCATTCCTTGTATTTAAATGGTCGCGTTCTTCGCGTGTCGACATTCGGCACATACCGCGGAGGGTGTGCGATGGACGCAGGGGCTTGAGCATGTGCACAACCTTAATACGGTCAGTCGCACCTGATTATTGGTCACAACCGAACTCCGTCACTTTTTGGACAAGCGAAGCAGGCAGGAGCAGATAAACAGCAGTGCTTGCACATTTAACAAAGATATAGCATCGTAGCTCTCCCATTCGAGTTCTTGCACGTCTCATGTGCCTCAGTGAGCTGTTCAAACGATACCCACACAAGCCCTGCACCCAATACACACCAAAATGCCGGCTACAGTACTGAAGAAACCTTCGAAGCGACTCATCGTCTTCTGTGATGGGACATGGGTAAGCTATTCTCTCACGCGCTTTGCTTTAGCCAGACAAAATCACTAACAAACAAGCACAGGTCGGCCGTGAGACCAACGTTGCTGGCGCACCTCGAAGTAACATTCGGATGTTAGCGGACCTGGTAGGAGACGTGCAGTTTAGCGATCAAAATCCACACGAGAAGCCTGCGATGGTGCACTCAATCAGACCTCGTTCAGCAAGTGTCGTGGCTGGTTACCAAGAGGGCGTTGGCCTAGGTGCGACGTTTCTCGAATACATCTGGAACGGTGCAACTGCTTCTTCTATCGGTGATGAATGCATTGCCGTTTACCGATTCGTTGTTGAGCATTATACCGACGACCATGAGATTTGGTTGTTTGGCTTCAGTCGCGGTGCATTCACCGCTCGATGCGTAGCAGGCATGATCAACAATTGCGGTATTATACGCCGTCAAGAAGGCACACTTGTGTCCGAACACGTCGATCGACTGTGTTATGAAGTCTTTCGCACATACCGATCAAGTCTACCCATCGACGCTCCTCAAAGTGAACAGAGTAAGCGACGCCGAGCCAACGCAGCCAAGGTATGGCAGGTTAAGCAGCCCATCCGCTGTATGAGTGTCATCGACACAGTCGGTGCTCTTGGTATCCCACGCCTTAATGCTGGTATCGGAATTGACTGGGCGCCCTTCGAGTTCTTCGATCAGTATGTGTCCACTGTTGTACAGTATGTACGCCATGCTCCTGCTCTCCACGATCGGTTATGGGCTTTCCAACCATGTCTCGCTTTTCCGAGCAAGAAATCTCCAGACACAACAGTGGAGCAAGTATGGTTTCCTGGCGTACATTACGATCTCGGACGCCAGACGTTCAGGTTTGTCCGTCAACATCCGATGAACTATATCGAAGCAGCTTTGGGCTGGTTACCGAACCTTCTCAGTCGGACTATTCGGCCAAATGAGGTACTTGCGGATAACGTACTGAGATGGGTTCTGGAGGGCATCCGCGACGTCAACGACAGAGACATTTTGATCATTCCAGATCTTGAAAACGAAATCGCCAAGATTAGTGCACGAATTGCTACGCCTGGACATGATAGTACAGGGAGCGGAGACGTGTACGGCAACGTTCTGGACTATGCGCCTGCAGGAAGGATTATTGGCACCATACAGAAGATCTCTTCGTCTATCACTTCTTTACTGAACAAAATCCTTCCAAACCTGGGCGATAACATTCAAGACCTTCTAGGCATCCGTACAATTATAGGCATTTTGACCGCAACAGCCGATCGCAGAATCCCGGGGGTTGCCGCGGATGTGAATAACTACAAGGATGATCTTGCAAGCAAAACAGGTGTGGTATTTAGTATTGGGGACAACGCAAGGATGGGAGAACTGAACGAGTGGAAAAAGACCAGATATCCAAGCCGCACCTTTGAGACGCATGAGCTCTGGAAGGAGGTCTTCGGTGATGATTGAATGGTCATGCACTGAGTCGGATAAAATAGTCATGAAGGCACGTATCATTGAAAGATATATCATGTTTGAGCAAGAACAACTGACAGTCCATTACACTTCGCGATTCGCTGGTTTCACCTTGACGACAAACACAAGGCTACTACCTGCTCAAGCTGCATTGAGATTTAACTTGACTCAAACGTTGTAATCTTTCGTCGGCAAGTCCTGGTACTGATACGCACACCTACTAGTTTTGTGCGTCTTCCTCGAACGATATAGCTTCACAACCCCCGAATTCTCACACTTTAGACAAAGCACTTTGGCCCGGCACTCGTGTCTCCCGTGGTTCTCACGATCACACTTGGTGCAGAACTTCTCCCTCCCCCACGATGGCGGTGGCAAAGATTTCCCCAATGCCTGCACACGCTCGACTACATCCTGAATATCCCTATCGACGACGACTGCTTGTGGGATGCCATGCATGTAGATATCGTCCCTCAAGCTCGTGAGCACGGCGGCGATTAGAGCTCCTGCCGCGTCGTTGCCAGCAGTATGCAAGTTCGGAAGCCGCAGCTTGAAGTGTGCGAGAAGGTCTTGTAGGCTGATTTTGGGTCCTTTAGGACCGTAGATATTCATGTCTTTGGCGAGATTCTGTGTGTCGATGACTTTGATGATGACTCGTCGAAGCCTGTCAAAGACGAGGATATTCTGCTCGTAGACGTAGCGGGAGGAAGAGGCCATGATCTTCTGGCTTTTAAGGAAAGATTTGCTGATTACTCCGGACGTTATGTCCTCCAAGACCTACCCCACGTGGTCGAGGATAAGACACTTGACCTTGCTGGAGTTGGAAAGCGGTCTCTCAATTTCTTTGAGGATCAGGTCGTTCCTAGCAAGTATTCCCCGTCGGATGAAAGTCAATGTACTGACCCACGCCAGACGCTCGTATTTACTACATGAAGTTCATCTTGCACGACTGGAATGATGAGCTGTGCTTGAAGCTCTTGAAGAACGTTACCGCAGGCATGAAAGAAGGTTACTCGACCCTCATCGTCGAGGATTTCATCTTGCCTGTCAAGGGTGCGCAACTGCTACCTGCGATGTGGGATATGCAGATGATGTCGTTGCTATCGGCGATGGAAAGAACCGAAAGACAATGGAAGGTTATGTTCGATCAGGCCGGGTTGGGGATAGAGGGCTTTTATCAGCCTCCAGGCGATGGGACAGGCATCATTGTGTTGCATTTGGCTACGGAAGTCGCTGAGCCTTGAAAATGAGCCATGGCTGTTACTGACACTGACGCTTAATTTTGCTGCTCTTGTGTCAACAAGTCAGCCTGAGGAGTTGTCGATGGTCTCTAGAGGAGCTGTTTCAGAATACGTGGGGATGAAACGTGGGCTGCAACACCACTTCTAGCAAGCTTAAACCTCATGATTCATCAGTCTTTTCGAAGAACTTCATCACCTCTAATGTTCTTCCACGTGCAAGAGTCATCATGGCGATACCGAGGCGCCTCGTACTTCTCCTGACGGCAACCTTTCTTCTCTTGCTCGTCGCAATGTTGTTAGCAACAGCCATCGAAATCCGCGCACCACCACCAAAAATGATGGCAGTAACGCTCGCACAGGCTGCAAAGTATGGCGAATCTGAGCGCGAGCTTGCAGCCAAAGCGCTTCTGAATGGAACCGACTTCGACCGTGGCGATATCTTGAACGGCACAACCATTGCGCCACAGGTCATCAACCCAACCATGACGATGACTGGCGAGGGCATGATCGGAGACAAGGAAACGCCAGCACCAACTTCGAGTGCGGCTGACGAGGGATACATCGAGCCAGATCCTACATCTTTGCCAATTACCAAACCTACACAACAGCCGCCTCAGACCGCGCAAATTCCAATCCTAGCTCTTTCGTATGCCGGCTCCGGCGGTCCCAAGCACTGTCGCGGCAAACTCCTGCAAAAGATCTCTTTCGTGCGACCTGCAGCGCAGTGGAAGGATGGATCATGTATCAATCTTCCTAGCGATGCACGATGTGGCCTCTTCTTTTCAGAAAAGGGAGACAACTGCGAGGCGCAGTTGTTCAACGAGCTTGATTGTCATAATACAACAACGACTTACGTGAACACAGTAGTTTTCATGCCGGAAGAGCGCCCTGTTGGTGCACTTTGGAGGAGCATGTGGGTGAAATGTGGTGTTGAAGTGCCAGAGGCTAAGATGCTGGATCCAGCCATCCTTGGAGGAGCGTTAGGACCAAAGAAGCCCGGCGGCGGTTGAACGATGGAAAAATTGATAGTAAAGAGATTGGATCAGGCTATGAGATAAGAGACGACCACACAGCACGTTGCAACAGAATGAGACAGACCAGAAGTTGGCAAGGCAAAATTGTGCTGGAACACCTGAGCCGCGTTGTTGCTTAGACGTTGCCTAGATGGACAAGAGCTTAGGAGGGTCAGAGAGAATGCAAAGTCCAATGTCCTTTGAGATGTGGGAACCTCGGCACATGAGCCCACAACATCGCCAAAAATCCGACTCAACCAACACTAGACAGAGGACAAAGAAGCTACGGTAGCTGCAAAAAGTGTAGGTATTTGAACATTGCTTTTTTCCAGTCAGACATAATCAGCACATCCGTTATGGTCTAGGTAAGCTCAACCATGGGTCTCATTCAATCAACATTCACTAACATCCTAAAGTGGCTAGGATTTGTCGCTCTCATCTGTTCGCAGTAGTGCCGACAAGGCCGGGGTTCAATTCCCCGTGACGGAAAACTTTATTTTTGGAGTTTTGTAGGACCTAGAAAGGGTGGTGGGTATCGGTGATAGGAAAAGTGATAGAGGTTTTTTTGTGGGGCCACATGCGCTACTTGGAATGGTCGCTACCTGCTATGCCAGACGTGCGGCGCAATTGTACAGATGCAATGAGTGGCAAGAGAATTCTTTGTGTGCCGATGAGCGCAGTTAGAGGATGATTATCTAATTCTTTGGCTAGAGTGCTATCATGAACTCGCTTCCATGCCTCCCTTATCCTGCATGCTCATTTGCAACATCCTAAGCTCCGTACGCGATGTTTTTTTGCAGATACACAGAGCAGATGTTACTCTATATTGGACGTAGATAAGGAGGAGAGTAACAGAGTCCAGAAGCTGTCAATTTACGGCTTGTATCATGCAGCAAGTTGGGTGTTAACTCTGGCACCCTAAGCGATCGTTATAGATAGGTGTCTTGTTGTTTGGTTTTTGGCATTTGAGCCTGTGAGATCATCGACCCTCTCGCTTGATGGAAGCCTACGTATCATGATGCTTATCCTCGTCTTACACGATCGGTCGCTATCGGCCCAGAAGGACAGAAAACATCTGTCAGCGAACAAATCAACGAAGAGCTGACACTGGTGGGGACCGTATTGTCGAAAGTGAAGACATCTACCAAAGGAGTGAGACAAGAGGAGTAGATGACCTATCTTGAGATTAGATGGCTAATGAGCCATGTGAATTTACGATTCTATAGATAACATCTTGACCTGCCATGATGTATATTTTACTGTCTTACTGTTTCTTACATGTATAGCGGCATCAGATGACTCAGACGCTCAGTATCGTTGGTAAACCCACAAATCTAACAAGATTAGACTTGTAGTCTGTAGGTATCCAGTGCTTCAAGCCTTTTTAGAACACGCAGCCGCATGTCTCAGCTCTAGTGTTGTCATACCATTATCTTGAGTGATTCTCGCCATCTTGAAAATGTGCTCATAGAGACAGATGTCCAGTATTACGCACGAGGCGCCACTCATTGGTAAACAACCAGCATTTGCAACAGATCTAGAGGTGAAGGTGAACCCAGTTGCCTGACATGATAGTACTGCTGTAAAGACATCAACTCTTGAAAACGAAAGAAGACGAAGCTTGCTTGTTGCTCGCATTTCATTAGCCGCCATCAAAGTGCATGTTGCGATGTCGACAAGTCATACTCGTATTTATGTCGTATTTTGTCTAAGAGTCGACGTCTACCAGGTGGGCCGATATATCCCCCTGGGGATGCAACGGCTCTCCAGACTCATCTCACCGAGTTTTTTACATGCACGCATGTGGGGTGTTGCTCGATGAAGCCCCACGTTTGACGTCGGGAGGGGCCATCGTAGCCGAGCCAGAGATCTAGTCATGCAAGTGATGCGAGGAAGTGGGGTTGAGTCAGTACGGTGAGCCAAAGCTGTGTGGTGGAAAAAGGAGCTGTTGTCGTCTGAGCACGAGATATGACGTATGGCGGTGGATAGCTTCTTCCGCATGCGGCCGGCCCCTGACAACTTTCGAGGCATCACGATCGCTGTCGGCGTGGACGCCTTTGGACAGATACGCGTAATTACGCGCGAGCGACGGACGACAGCTGTGGACATGGCGCGCGTTGCTATCAAACACGGTTCTTGTCGACGAGTGTGCAGTGTTGAGGCTGGCGTGTGCTGTTTTTGGCAGCCGCTACTGGTCCCAACGTCACAGGGCACGGCATCATACGCGGTCTCAACCACCAGAAACATGTGATGATAACACCGAAACAGCCGTCGTACAGGTCAGCTCGTGTTGCAACTGTTGGGATCTGCCCACGGCAGGGAAGGCACGGCTTGGATCCGGCTAGGCGGGTGACTGATTAAGCTTTCCAGGTTTTCAAGGGTTTTCAGCCTCTTATTCGCCACCAGGCGAACCACGACGGAGTCAAGGCGGCTGTCACCTGCGAGTAATGGATCATCAGAGCTCTGTCCGCCTACCAGGACACCACGACTCTTCGCCGCGGCTTGCCGCAAGCAGTCGAACCGCAGCGAGACAGTCACGACAGTGATGTGAAGTCGAGGCTTCTCGACCATGTCGTACCACTCCACTAAGCTACCCTCACAGTCACTCCTTCGTTCGATGATGGCCCTTGGTCTGTGACCATTCAGCGGACGCGCATTGCAAGGCTTGGAGACCCAGTTATACCCACAGTGTTATCTCGGATTCCCTGAACCAGTGCACCAAGAGTTTGGCAGACCTGTCCACTTTTCTAATGCATCGCCTGCCATGCTTGGAATGGGCGACTGCAAATCCTCACCAGTAACGGAAGTAGAACGCTGAGACTGTCGTCAGTCCAAGACCCTTCTCACCGTGTCCATTTGCAAGGGCCAGACGATGCTTTTCGACGTGTGTTTGTCTTGCACCTGTGCAATTCTCCCTCACTCTCTACAGACAAATTTTTGACACCGGCCAGCTGCGGCAACCCTATCTCACGGAACTTTCGGTAAACCTGCGGTACGTCAGTATCGCAATTTGCGGCAGTGATAGCTCTAAGAATACTCGGCGCCCTGGCGTGTGCAGCCACACCCGCAGCTGCAGCATCGAAAAGTTCGGCACGCTGTTGGTGCGGTTGTCGTGCTTTTGGCGTTCCCCTCCCTACTAACACATTCCCTGCAACCGTACTCCACCGAGTTTCTCCTTTGAGCTGACGCAGTTCATGTCGAACATTCTGGCCATTTGTATTCGCAAACAAAAATTGGGTCTTCTAACGCCACGGCAGTTTCTGCGAGGGTTCTGCTTGTTCACCTGTCGCTCGGAAGCGCGTGCAGGCACATCCGCTTTAGTGTGCTCTTATCAATACCACGCAACCCTGCCAAAGAACCAACCTACACAACGATCTCCTGTTTCCAACAACCATTGATTCCGTCATCAGCTCCGCCTACCCATCGCATGTTTGTACCTCCTGAGGAATACAACCCTTACTGCTGGTCACTTATCAAAGCATCATTTCATTAACATACCGGAGATTCTCGTTGGTAACACCGTGCCACCGCGCCCAAAGGACCCATATATACCCGAACTTCGAGCACTGATTGCTCCTTGCATCTGACACTACGCATCGGGGATCTACCGCTAGGTGCAGCATACGGCTACGGTTCAAACCTTCCTGAGACTATCAGCCGCTTTCGGTTGCGAACTATTACCCCCACGTGCAGTTTTCCATATCTTGAGTCAAGGAGACCACTGTTCTAGAGGTCTGGATTGGCAACCTACGGGGTTTCGGTTCGCTGCCAAGAGATATCTTCCCACGCTCTTCGCCCACAGGTCATAGCCCGTTAGTATAATATCAAGATGGACCCCTTTCAAGATCCTGGGCCATCCCATTCCCACAACAGCTCTGAAGACCAAATGGCTTCAACTCCAGGGCGCAAACGCGTCGTCTGGAGCTCTGATACCGCCACCGAACGCCCCACGTCATCAGTGACGCCGGAGGATACTAACACTGGTTCGGGTGGTCACAACACTCCTCTCCAGAGAGCGGATCTTTCTCAGGATGACCTCAGAAAGATGCGAGAGTCTATCAAGATAGCCCTCTCAGAAGAGTACCCACAAGAAGCCCATACCACCCCGCCTGCTCGCGATGTACAAAGGCCGCGCCCGGCGATACGAAAAGCCCCTCGTACACCACCAGAGTTCTTTCTCAACGATGAACCTAACCCTTTCGAGGACGAAATGGAACGACAGCCATCTATCCGATCGAAGGCTAAGGAAAGGTCGGGCCTAGAGGCTCAGCGACGAGCTGCAAAGCTCTCTCAGTCAATGGGCACTTACTCTGCCCCAGTCTCCCGTCGCAACTCGCAAGGCCAGATGACTCCCCCTTCTGTGGAGCTCCAAAACCTGAAGTCTTTCGATCATACTGCTGAGAACAGCGAAGAAGACGATGACGACGATCCGCAGTTCATGAAACGGGCATCCATGCTCTTGCGCTCCCATACCGTTCGAAATGGTGGCGTGGGGCCGCAGCTCAGTATGGAAGACCTGTATCATTCTGAGCCTCCTCTCCAATCTGGGCAGGTCACTCCTACAAACGCCGTCGAGATTGAAGACGAACACGTCGCACGCCCCCGCAAGTATCGAACCGGTGTCCTTGGAACCCTACTGCAAGCCTCGATGGCCGCTGCTCAGGCCCCTGTTACTGCTGGACGATCAAATCGATCATCTCACACCAGGAATCTCAGTGCTGGATACACTTTCAGTGGAGCTTCGACTGCAGCCAATTCTCCCAACTCATCTCCACCACGATCAGGAACCACAACGCCTCGCGGCAAGCCCTGGTATAGCCGACACTACAACAACCATTCCACCAATTCTATCTCTCAGCTTGTAGGCTCATCTGCTCGTAGTTTCGCAGCCCCCTCCCAGCAAGACTTGGGCAATGACTTCGAAGAGCAAGTCAAGAAAACCCGTCCGGGTATGGGCAAGCGATCGAAGTCCGACGAGTCTGTGCTAGGTTTCAAGAAGCCAAGCAAGCGTCGCGACCATGACTTGAAGATCAAGATTCACATTGCTGGCACACTAGCACGACAAAGTTACCTTCGCAAGCTTTGTAAGGCTTTGATGATGTATGGTGCACCTACCCATCGCTTGGAAGAGTACCTCGCTATGTCAGCTCGTGTTCTAGAAATCGAGGCTCAGTTCTTGTACATGCCTGGTTGCATGATCTGTGCTTTTGATGATACGTCAATTCACACATCAGAGGTCAAACTTGTCAGGACAGCACAAGGTGTCGACCTTGGAAAGCTGCGCGATGTTCATGAGATCTACAAGGATGTCGTCCACGATCGTGTTGGTGTCGACGAAGCGACTCCGCGCTTGGAGGCTATCATGGGCCGTAAAAACAAGTTCGGTCGTTGGCCTAGAGTACCTGTGTATGGTCTTGCTTCCGCTACCGTTGCTCCATTCGCGTTCAATGCTCGGCCCATTGACTTGCCATTTTGCTTCGTACTGGGTT